CACATTAGGGTAACAAAAGAATTGAAGCAAGACCTTAAAGTATGGAATAATTTCCTAACAGATTTTAATGGAAGATCAATGTGGCAACAAGAGTTTATAGATTCGGATAGTCTTGAGCTGTTTACAGATGCATCTGGTGCTATTGGTTTTGGCATATATTGGAATGGACAGTGGTGTGCACAAGAATGGCCGGTTCTTTGGGCACAGGAAGGCTTAACCAAAAACTTGACATTGTTGGAATTGTTTCCAATTGTAGCCGCAATATATCTATGGGGAGGAGCATGGAGAAATAGGCGGCTGATCGTCACTTGTGACAATCTAAGTGTAGTAATGGTAATTAATTCCTTACAGTCTAGGTGTAATAGAGTTATCAATTTACTTAGACACTTAGTGTTAAGGTGTTTTCAGCTGAACATATGGATAAAAGCTAGACATATACCAGGCAAAATCAATAGGCTGGCTGATGCTCTCTCACGATTGCAATTGCAGGAATTTCGAAAATTGGCACCAAGAGCAGCTGCGGAAGGAACCCAGTTCCCGTCAGACCTTTGGGATTTGATTGGGGACAGTTAAGTGTGATGCTGATGAATTCAGTAGCTGTTTCTACGTGGAGTACATATGTCAGAGCATGGAATGAGTGGTTCAAATTTAATCAGTCAAACAATAAAGATCCGTTTGGAGAGGACAAGGAGAGCGCAATACAATTTACATTGGTGTCAATGCAGAAAGGTTTCTCTAAGTCCAAGTTAGCTTGTAGTTTAGCCGGGGTGGATTTCTTTAGGAAGCTGTGTGAATGTAAACCAATTAAGCAGTATTTCATAGTTAATCAGTTAGTTCGAGGTTATAGAAGAGCCAGTAGAGTAAGGGATAACAGAAAACCAATATCGTTTAAGGTGCTATCACAGTTATTTGTAGTCCTGGAGGAAGTATGTTATTCTGAGTATGAGGTAGTTTTAATTAGATGTTCATTTATAATAGCTTTTTTCGCAGCGTTAAGAATTAGCGAGTTAGTGGCTAAGAGTAAGTTTTGTTTGTCAGGTTTACAATGGGAAGATATTATAGTTAATGATAGGAAAGTGATGGTATTCATTAGAAAATCTAAAACAGATCAGGAAGGCAAAGGAAGATGGTTAACATTGCTGGAGATTAAAGGTTCTTTTTTGTGTCCGGTTAAGGTGACAGAAAATTACTTGTCAATTAGACCAAGGGTTGAAGGTCCTTTTTTCATGCATAAGGACACCGTTCCGTTGACTAAGTTCCAATTTAAAAAGGTCTTCAAGTTGTGCATAGACAAGTTAAAGTTAGGCGATGAGCGTTATTCATCTCATTCTTTTAGAATTGGAGCGGCAACAGAAGCAGCAAGGTGTGGTTTAAGTGATGGAATGATTCAAAGGTTGGGGAGATGGGAGTCTAATAGATTTCAATTATACGTCAGGCCTCATTTGATATAAAAAATTAAAAAAATTAAAAAAAAAAGTTAACGGTTCTTTGTTATTAAAGTTTATGGATGTATATGAACATTGGCGTATATATGTTAATAATCTTCTTTTGCTAGGTAATAAGAAGCCGGCGATTGCCTGGGTAATCGGTCATTCATTTATATTTTGGGCCCAGAAGAGGGCAAAAGAACGGTCATATGGCGAAAATCTCGGATTAGAAAGCAATGCTGTTAAAGTCTTTTGGAAAGGAATTCGTGGGGCTAAGTGGTCTCAATTATTTGAAATAATACAACAATGCATGTTAAGTTTTCCCTATCCAGAGGTAGTAATAGTTCATTTGGGAGGGAACGATATTGGCTCAACGAAATCGGTCAATTTGATAAAAGAGATTAAAAGTGATTTGGTATGCATAACACAAATATTTCCAGATGTTCGGTTCATATGGTCGGAGATTATCCCAAGGCATTGCTGGTTAAAAGTAAGTTTTTTAAAACCATTGGAAAGGGTACGTAGGAAAGTAAATAGAGCGTTGGAAATATTTTTACCAACCCTGGGAATGACCTCATATAGACACAGGGATATTGAGGGCAATTGCGCTGGCTTTTATAGGAGCGATGAAGTTCACTTGTCGGATATTGGTTTGGATATATTTAATTTGGAGATTCAATCCATGTTGGAGATGGCCGTGGGTGTGGGGGGCCACCGAGTTTGGTAGCCCAGAACCTCGGTGGCGTTGGGATATAAGTCGCCCTCCTGGTCATCACAGGCGGGTGGATTTGGTGGATTTGGTTGAAGAGATATTTATGGCTCCTGGCTTTGGAGGGGGGCGGAGCCTTGGAAAGTGGTTTAATATGTTGGTTTTAAAGCTATGGTTTATTATTATTCATATGGTTATGGTTTAATAGGAATTATGAAATCCATAATAAAGGTCCACGGCCATTCTCCAAGGTGTATCACTAAAGTTATTAAATAAACATTTTGATTGAAAATTTCTGCTTGTGTTTATTTATTTATGTTTCACTTCGATTACAACATTCAAACCTCATGTCGGGCACGCGGACTGCTTAAGGAGAAGCCCCATGAGGTTTGATGGAGCGAAGTGGGTAAGTATAGCGCTCGCGCTAGGGGTTAAATGCAGGTTAGGGTTAAATACAAGGCAGCTCGCGCTGGCAGTTAAGGCGGCAAGCTCGCGACCAGGGCATGAGCCCTGATTGGTAGATAGCAGCGCGAGGGCAATATTGGAGGGAAAATAGGGGATATAAATTGGAGGGCGCCAAATTAATTGCCTCAGATTGTGCCAGACAAATCCGAAGGTTAGCTATATATTAAAATATTTAAGCTGCTGTTCCCACCCACCCTTCCCCCTTTTATTTATTTTATGTCGTGACCTTATTATGGGATATAAGTCGCCCTCCTGGTCATCACAGGCGGGTGGATTTGGTGGATTTGGTTGAAGAGATATTTATGGCTCCTGGCTTTGGAGGGGGGCGGAGCCTTGGAAAGTGGTTTAATATGTTGGTTTTAAAGCTATGGTTTATTATTATTCATATGGTTATGGTTTAATAGGAATTATGAAATCCATAATAAAGGTCCACGGCCATTCTCCAAGGTGTATCACTAAAGTTATTAAATAAACATTTTGATTGAAAATTTCTGCTTGTGTTTATTTATTTATGTTTCACTTCGATTACAACATTCAAACCTCATGCTTCCTAAAGTTTTTCCTAGATGTGCATTAAATACATTAGGAACTGTAGATACCAAAGATCACCTGCCTATAATTATAGCCATATACCATGACTGCTTGACACAGCACCAGGGTATTTTAGCTGATGCGATGCAATATGTAATGCTTTTTGAAACTTCTTTAAAAGTTCTAGTATTTTGGAAAAGGAGTGGGAGTGACAGAGCCGCTCCAAGAATCAGGGAATTAAATTTGCCCCTTTGCAGGGAAAGAGTCTGCTCTGTACCCTAGACAGACACCAGCCTACGTTTTATCATAGTAACCATCTGACTGTAAGAAGGATCATGAATGCAATCAGGTATTTATTTATTTTTACTAATAAGAGTTTATTCACTAAACACTAAATTGCAGTGAACAGATAATGAATTGCTGTAGGCCGAAAGAGGAAAGTTGTGGCGATGTGCACATTCTCCCTAAATATGCAATTCGGTTTTCAATTTGGGGTTTAGTGAATAAATACCACGCTCTTGATACTATAACCAGAAAATGTCATACTGCAAAAGTGTAGAGATACTATATAGCTCTGCATTGTGGGTTTTTCCCAGTACACGTGATTAACGGTTAGACAATAACCAGGAGACAGCTGCATGAGAGTTATGGTCGTGGTTGTCCAACCCTAAACAAGACCCTAATTCGGTTTAGATTTCTAATGAAAAGGCAGGAATTGTGTGTTTATTTACTAAACAGTAAGTTGTGGTTACTTCAGAAACCAACTCTGCAAGATGAAACTAAGCTGCACAAACGTGTATACAACTGAATGATCAAATCCTGGGCTCTTAAACCAGTTGATTATCAATCTCTGGGCGTACTGCATTAATAGCTATTAATTTCATATGGAATTATCTGCTCTCAATGGTGACATTTTCAAATAGAGTTAGTAAATCTAATGTTATGTAAATGTTCTCGTTCTTTATACATACCAATCAACAATCAGCCAGAACAAGCATAGATCTTTACAGGGAAAGATGGAGACATTAACTGATGGTCCTAAAGCTTTAATCAAATATATGCCCCTGGTGCAATGTTAAGAATGTATTTCAAAGCTTTCAGCACATAGCGATGATAGCCATAGCTCTTTGAATATCAAAAATGGACATCATCAACGTTTTGTATTTTTACCTATGGTTCTTTGTATTATGTTGGTTATCTACTAAATAATGATATATTGTTTAAACCACTACTGCTTTTTTCAATATGTTGTGTTCAGTTGCATGAGAAACATTTGATACATGGGAGAGAAAATTAACAGAGAGAGAAAGTTGCATCGTGAGAAAAAAACTCAACCAAAAAAGGAGGATGGTGTATTTTAGATATATTCACAGGGGAAATAAAATTACAGATATTGAGGGAGTTATCACTATATACAAGGAAATCAGAATACTGTAGTACAGAAGACAGTTACTCTGTATCACATGCAACAGATGATTAGGTCTGCAATTACAGAACAGGGGGCATGGAGAGTCACAGCAGGGGACACAATGGGGTTTTTATGAAGAGCAATTGTGGAGCAGAGTTCTAACAGTGGGACAATCAGCAAATGCATTCCATTGGTTTCCATGGTGATTGCTTCTCTTTTAGAACTTTGCTACAAAATTGCACTTTATCCATTTGTAACGCACTAAAGTCACAATGGCTAACCTAGCCACATATATAGAGTTAGATCTAAAAAGAGAACATGCATTCTTGTGGCATACACAAGAAAATATAGGATATTAGAAAAACACACATACGTATAAAAAGTGAATAATCACTAATGACAGTCACTTTACAGTAGGTGATGTCTGCAAGTCTAGAGTTGGCGCTTCATATATACTTACTTCGAGGGCGTGGGGCTTGAGTGGCATTGGGTGATGTGCCTGCTATACAGACATCTTCTCGAGGGTACTGGTCGCAACGAAGCATTTCTGGCCAAGGAAAACCAAAATACTGCATGACTGGTTCACAACCATCTCTGACCGCTTCGCAAAGCCAGCGACATGGGTATATGGGCCGGTCCAAGCAAACAGGAGCAAACAGAGAGCACAGGAACACTTGGGTGCCTGGATGGCAGTTCTTGCTGAGTAAGGGCACCCAGCTACTAGCCTGGTATTTCACCTCTACCATAGTCTCATGGTCCAGAAGGTTGGGCAGTACCATCTTGTTGTATCCGACTCCATGGCACAATGCCAGGTCCTGGGGAATATCCACACATTGTGCCGGTCGAGAGTAAAATCGTCCACTCTGGTATTGTCGTCTCATCTCTGGCTGGAAACTTACATAGTCGTACTCACTGGGCTGGGACTCCCGAGCAGATAGGCTCGGGGTGACCCAAAGCATTACAAAAATCCAAATACTCTCACCTGACAACATAGTGCCAAACCTCACACTTTTTTTACACTGTAGATACAATGAGAAAAATTACAAGGGAGATTGTTTTCTCCTCTAAAATACAGCTATAAATAATTGTAAAATTAATGCAGGTTATATTTCTCTCAGTAAGGGGATGAATAGCACTGACAGTGTAGTGGAGCAGTATATAGCCTTCCCTGAGTGCTAGCAAGGAATGATAAAGCAGAGCTCAGAGCAGAAGGTTTCAGCCAGGAGCTCAGCTGGGACATCCAATGAGAGCAGAGCAGACCCTCCTCCTCTCCTCCTCTCCTCCCCTGCCTGGATCTGTCACACTCCTCCTCTCCCCCTCTGTCTCATACCTCCTCAGTCCAGTGTTACAATCTCTCTCTCTCTCTCTCTTAACTTTCTTATTGTTCTCAGGTAGCATTCTGTCATTCTCTCCCTCATTCCACACATAGGGGTTTATTCACTGATCATCAAATTGTAGTAAACTGAAAATGTTATTCCAAAGTTTGGACAAAAAGTGCTGATTTGGAAAAAGTATCCAACTCGGCTCTAGTAGTAGCTTGGCAATTTAGTCTTACACTTTGCAATTTGGTTTCCAATTTGATATTTAGTATATTAACACACTATTCACTCTCAGCTCTCTGTACATCACTTTAATCTTTTCATTTTTATAGTTTTTTTGTAACACTAAAGTGAGCATTTCCTGGATTTCAAAATGAATTTCAAAATGTAGGCTAAAAATAACTGAATTAGAAACTTGTTTAACCCCTTAAGGACCAAACTTCTGGAATAAAAGGGAATCATGACATGTCACACATGTCATGTGTCCTTAAGGGGTTAAAGGGACACTCCAGGCACCCAGACCACTTCTGCCCATTGGAGTGGTCTGGGTGCCAACTCCCACTATTCTTAAACCTGCAAGTGTAATTATTGCAGTTTTTTATAAACTGCAATAATTACCTTGCAGGGTTAACTCCACCTCTAGTGGCTGTCTAGAGGGCACTTTCTGGTTTCTAGCACAGGAAACCTGTGCTAGAGTGTCGCTGGATGTCCTCACGCTGTGTGAGGACCTCCAGCGTGGCTCATTTCCCCATAGGAAAGCATTGAAATGCATTTTCAATGCTTTCCTATGGGGAGCGCAATGCCGCGCATGCGCATTAGGTCTCCCCGGCCGGTGGGTGGGATCAGTCTCGCCCACCAGCCGACGCAATGCAGAGGAGGAGCGGCGGCGGAGGAGGAAGCAGCGACGTGGGACATCCTCGCTGCCTCAGGTAAGTTACTGAAGGGGTTTTCACCCCTTCAGCAACCGGGGATCGGGGGGTGGGAGGGAGAGGGGACCTGCAGTGCCAGGAAAACAGATTGTTTTCCTGGCACTGAAGTTTCCCTTTAATGCATAACCCTATTTTTTTGCTTATAACATACCTTCTTTAGAAGTTTCTCCCATAATATCACATTTCCAGGGGGAAGATAACTAATGATGTGAAAAATATGGCACAAGAACTGTGCAGGAAGATATATTGCTGTATGCATATAATAACATATTGTTTACAGAGCACCAACATATTCTGCAGGGCTTTACAGTGTGCACACATACAAGTAAAATAAATGTTAAAGAGACACTATAGTCACCAGAACAACTAAACATTAAAGGACCACTATAGGCACCCAGACCACTTCAGCTCAATGAAGTGGTCTGGGTGCCAGGTCCCTCTAGTTTTAACACTGCTATGTTTCACTGAGGGTTAATCCAGCCTCTAGTGGCTGTCTCACTGACAGCCACTAGAGGCCGCTTCCATAATTCTTACTGTGAAAATCACAATGAGAAGACGCTGGACGTCCATAGGAAAGCACTGAGTAATGCTTTCCTATGGGCAGTTTGCATGGGCGTGCTGCTCTTGCCGCGCATGCACATTCGGCGCTGACGTTGGCCGGAGGAGGAGAGATCACCAGTGCCGAGGGAGCCTGGCGCTGGAGAAAGTGGCTGTAGGGTTTTGTTTATTTATAAAATATTTTACCAGGAAAGATACATTGGGATTTCTCTTGTTTTCAAGTATGTCCTGGATCCACAAAATATTGCATTAATACATTATGGTACAATAAAATAACCCCTTCAGCCCAGTGGGAGGGGGGCCATGAGGGTGGGGGGGACCTAAGGACTACATAATGCTAGGAAAACGAGTTTGTTTTCCTGGCACTATAGTGGTCCTTTAATGTAGTGGTTCTGTAACCTGTCCCTGTAAGCTTTTTAAGGTAAACACTGCATTTTTTTCGGTGAAAAGGCAGCTTTTCTATGAGTAGGTGCTGATTGGTGCAGCGCGGCGTAGTAGCCTCCTAATGCTTTCCTATGGGAAAGCATTGAATGGAACTTGATAACCTCAGCCAAGGAGGTAGGGAGCCGAGAAGACATGCGTGGCCTTTAAAAAAAGGTAAGTCACTGTTTTAACAGGGGCAAGGGTGGATCCGGGGATCTAAATGGCTATTTTAAACATATAGTGTCAGGAATACACGTTTATGTTCCAGATACTATAGTGTTCCTTTTACAGGCAGATTAAAAAGGCTGTCAAGTACCATAACCACTACAGTCCCTTTTGGTTCAGTCACCAGCATTCAAGCAGCGATTTCATCTAGGAGCTATACAATTTATGAGTTAAATGAATGGGGTTGGCAGGTACACCATATTTGCAATCAATACACATGATGCGTCACTGTATTACCTAGAATTTCTGTATTTCAGGAGAAAATAAATTATGGAATCAAGGCTGTACCTTGGGAGCATATGCATGCTAAATACTGTTGGCCGGTACTTTTTATGTGCTGGAGAGCAGTTCATATAAATTATATGTATCAAAGGAACATTGTGGCATACTTCCCAACATTTCAAATGAACAAGGAGGGACACTATATTTTAATGTTTGCTGTAAAAGCTCTGTTATACACTCAGCCACACCAGTTATATGGAGCTCCTAGAAAATAGGGACAGATGGATTTGAGCCCAAAATAGGGACTGTCCCTACAAAATAGGGACTGTCCCTACTAAATAGGGACACTTGGGAGGTGTGCGGTGGATGTGTCCACCCTAACTGTAGAAGATATCTTGAGTGAATGAAAAGAAAAGGAAGGAGTTAGGTCTATACCAGGGGTAGGTAAACTTTGGCACTGCAGATGTTGTGGACTACATTTCCCATAATGCTTCAATAGACATGTTGCTGGCAAAACATTAACGAAGATGTAGTTCACAACATCTGAAGTGCCTACTTCCTGGTCTATACTGTGTGATCCTGAGAATATGTTTATTCACTAGAAGATTGTAGACATATATGTAAAGAGAGATTATGTTGTATATGATAAGCAATAGTAATTGCATTGCCTATTATAGGTGCATGTGCTTGACATATCCAAATTATTAAAAGCGGTTATGATTTAGGTGCTTATTACATTTAGAGAAATGTGATAAACTGCAACTGAGTTGGGTATATCTTTATTCTATTATATACCCAACCTGCCTATTGGTCCTATATTTTCCAAATTTGTTTTTCAAACAACTGTTTAATGAATCAGTCCAATTTTTTCCACAAATGGGTATGTATACATGGGTTAGAAGTACAATATTGCATTATTACTTACAGTAAAAGTCATTCATTGGATGAATAATAGTGGAGATGGTGGGACAGAGAATAGACTACCCCCCAGGAATCCATGGAGGAGAGGTCATGACCGGAGCTTGTGAAGAGGGAAGAAGAGCTGACCTATTTGATGAACATATTGTCTTTTCTAAAGGATTCTAAAGAGGTGGCCAAGTACAGAGCAGCATGTGGGGTTGTGTAAGGTAGTAGGGGAGCCTAACAGTTTGGCAAGATCAGATTTTTGTCCCTCTATTTGTTTTTCTCTAGTGCAGTGTTATTTTAGATTGCTATGTGTACTGTAGATCTGTGTATACCCTTATTATTTTTATTATAATTGTCAACTATTAAGTTTTATCATATTCTGCAGCACTTTACAGGTTTTTAATTTGGGGATATAACAGCAAATGAGCCAAACTCTTACAAATGTTAACAGGAACTAGTGGGGACCTTTCGCTAGCAAGCTTAGAATATCCTTGAATATCTCTTTATGAAAGCCCAGGGATTTCCTGCAGTAGATTGTGGAATAAGACTTTGGCAGGTATTCCATGTGGCATCTCATTCAATCAGTGCAAGATAGCGAGGATTTATTCATCACACTTTATGGCTTATTCACTAACGTGTGAACTGTTGGAAATTAAAAGTGAATTTCAAAATTTGGTGAAAATTACCAGATTTTTAATTCACATATTTACTAAAGCAAAATTTGATTGAAATTTAGTCAATCCACTGAATTAACACCATTTGGTTGGATCCATTCAGTATCTGGTTTAGAATCAATATTTTTTGCACGCAAATCTTATGCAAAATAATTATATATTTACCAAACACAGACTGCACAGATTTCAAGATACGGTAAATAATTAAACTTGCTTTTTGCATTTTTATTGAAATCTGGACTATTTGCCCTCTTAATATATATTAAACCAGGCTAAACTAGCAACCATTTAATTAAATGGACACTATAGTCACCAAAACAACTTTCACTTAATTATACTGTTTTGGTGCATAGATCATGCCCCTGCAGTCTTACTGTTCAATTCTCTGCCATTTAGGAGTTAAAAATCACTTTATTTATACAGCCCTAGCCACACCTCCCTGCAAGTAACATGCAGAGCCTTATTAAAAAAACTTCCTGTAAAGTGAGATCTAATGTTTACACAATCTTTTTAATTTAGAATTTCTTATTTCCTGCATTGTAAAATTGTTTGCTAGACCTTGCATGAGCCTCCTGTATGTGATTAAAGTTCAATTTATAGAGCAGGAGATAAAAGCTCTAAAGTAAGTTAACACATGCACTGAATGGATCCAACCAAATGGTGTTATGAGTCAGTGCCAAGGGAGATGAGGCTAGGGCTGCATGCATAAAACCAAAAGTGATTTAACTCCTAAATGGCAGATAATTGAGCAGTGAGACTGCAGAGGCATGATCAATGAACAAATGCTTCATTAAGCTAAAGTTGCTTTTGTTGGCTTTAGTGACCCTTTAAATCAAATGATGAAGCGGCAGCTTACTGTAACTCCATCTGACCGGCAATATACACATACAGAAAAATATAGTAGGCTATAAGGAAAGAACAACATGATGGTAATCTCCATAAAGATAGTA